CCATGCTGCTGATTATCCATGCTGCTGATTATCCATGCTGCTGATTATCCATGCTGCTGATTACCCATGCTGCTGATTATCCATGCTGCTGATTTCTTGCCTTTAAGCTGCTGTATTCCTACCCACCTGCTTACATGCTCAGGCTGCTGTTCAATACACTGTATATTATATTATATTATATTATATTATATTATATTATATTATATTATATTATATTATATTATATTATATTATATTATGTTATTGCTGTTTAGCATTTATCTTCAATCCTTGTATACTGTTTTTTTTTGTACTTTATATTTGTGCTATTTTTGAGTATAACTGGGACCTTGAGTACACAATTTCGTTCCACCTCATGTACCACATGTGAGTGACAATATTGCCACCTTGAACCTTGTATTTGTGCATTGCTCTGAGATAACTTCTGTTGTGACTTGGCACTATATAAATAAACTGAATTGAAATTGCACTTTGGCATGACATTGTTACTTCTGTTTGTCAGTGTTCTCACTTGAACAGCGTCAATGTTTCTACAGGAATGTATGCGTGCTGAGCATAAATCATGTAAATGTTGTTGAATGTATCAGTCTGCCAGGAGTTGAGCAAAGTATTGAACTGACAAGATGTGCTGATTAGACAGACTGATACATCTAGTAACCTCAGCACCAATGACATGATATGCATGCTGTGCTCAGCACAGATTTATCATAACATCTTCTCTATGAGAAAAGCATGACAGACTAAACAAATAGTTTCATGCACACGTATAACATTTTATTATTAGACTATGTTGCATTCTTTATCACCAGAATGACATGAAAAATAATTTTGTGAGATGGGAAAACTGTTCAAATCAGGTCATTGTTTGGCTAACCGTTAGCCTAGCCTGGTGCACGACTTCTACCCTTTTCTTCATACTCTGTGCTGAATGAATCACAGCTGATAAGGTAAGGCTGATAACTATCTGACAGAACATTACTTTAAAAATCACCCGGCTGTCTCTTTAGGCTTTGCCAAATGATACATAAATGAATTTCAGGGAGATTAATGGAAATAAAATTCAACTGAAGCAGTGATGAAGTGAAGATAAAGTCCTCCAAGCTTGTAAGATTAGATTTCTATCTCTGCTTCAACTTGTTAGCTGCTGAGACGTCAGGAGAGACAAATGATGAAGTTGACTGTAAATAAACTGCTTATGAATGATCAATGAAAGCACCCCTGTGAAAACGGCAAGTTAAAATAATGCGCAGCAGAAAAAGAAGATCTGTTCTCCAGATCTTTCACTGACCACTCATGTGGTGCACACCATAATAAGAATGGTATGAAGAACACAAATCTGAATCATTTCTTCAGTCATACTGGAAACAGATCATCTCATGCCCTTTGCCAAGCACTGTGTATTTATTGAAAAAAAAAAAAAAAGATTTACGGGTCAGCAATAACAAATTGGGCTTTGCGTTTTTAAGACAAACATACCCGTTATCACTGCTTTCATGAAAGACAGGCAAGATACTGGGAAGTTTAGAAGAGAGGCATGGGAAATAAATGTTGAGCCTCATATCCACTGTATTATTTTTACTCTAAATTATAAACACACCCAGCTTTAAGGCTGCTCAGGCCTCACTGCACAGACTGCACTCTGCTCTGTGTGTGCTCTCCAACGACATGTACTGGAAGTTTGTGAAAAATGGGGTTAGCAATAAAAAAATTTAAACAATGCTCAAACATCTCTAGAAATATAATGAGTAACATGTGTTTGACATTAAAAATAAACATAATGCTTGAGCTGCATGAGAGTGGCTAATAAATGCAGTAAGTTCCCAGTGCACTCGCTTCGGATGTTATCAGCCATTAAATGGCCGTTATTAGTTGTTATCATCCCCATATGTAGCGGTCAGACTGCCCCTCCTGTACCTCCCATTGGGTTTAAAGGTACGTTGTTAGCGTTGTTACCTTTAAACCTACTAGGAGGTAGGTGGGGCAGTTTGACCGCTACATATGGGGATGATAACAACTAATAACGGCCATTTAATGGACTGATAACATCCGAAGCCACTCCCCAGCAGTGAATCTGGTAGTTCAGTGGGTAAAACCACTGCTCGGTTCTTGGATCATCCACCCCCTCCACGTGTCAGAGAAGAAGACGTCTAACCACAGATGACTCCATCATGACAAGTGCACTTTTTAATCTCTTCAGATTTAATAGTGGCCACAGAAGATCATCTTAATATCAATTTATTGTTGGGTCAATGTGTTGCTACGGAATGAATCACTAAAATCAATATTTGGGCCATCAAGGACACCATGTCACAAACAATCATCACAACCACCATCATGACGATGAGGTAGTGTGGTTCACCAACCTCACAGTAAAACATGGCAGTGGCAGCATCATGCTGTGTGAATGTTTTTTCTGTCAGTATTAGCTGGCATACTAATAGCTGAAGATCGATGGAGCAAAATTTAAAGAAATTCTTGAAGGAAACATGTCTAAGTCAGAGATAAGAGACAGAGATGGAGGTTCATCAGCACAACAATGACCCCAAACACTCTGATAAAGCAACACAAAGAGGAACTGTAG